TATGTATATATATGTATGTATATATGCCAAAATACATTATACAGATACATGGGGCCTTAGGGTTATGTCGGACGGATGCCTAGTCTCTGGAAAGGCTGTGGTCTCTCAAAGCCAATACATGACTTGTTTGCGGTTTAGGGGTTTGGGTTTGGGGTCTATAAAACGCGCGCCCATCCCGAAACCACAAACGCAAACCTGAACCCTAAACCTCTCCCTGAACAACTACACTACACTCAAGCCCCTGACTGAAACTAACAATGCTCTGGTCAGGCAGCATCGTGATCAGCACCAGTGCTGCCCGTAGCATGTCTCGTTTTGCCTCGGGAGCCGCAACTTTAACCTACAGGTCCCCCAAGTACCGACGTAGGAGGTGCCTAGAGTCTCCAGTGTAGCTCCTCTTTTTGGTTTAACTACTATAGAGGTAAGATTTGGTGCCTCTAGACAAGGCGACACTCAGCATGGTAGGAGCGGAAACTGCACATGATTGTAATGGGCCGTAAGACATAGTACACCAAAGGTTTAACAGGCCTGCTTGTAGCATCAAGTTTCACACGGACTTAGTTAATGCGCCTTACTGCGGAAAGCATGAGAGATATCGTGGCTGAAACATTTGCTACAAACAATCTCGAAGAGCTTACGGGCTGTGCGGGAAACAGTTCTCGGATATTGCCTGTAATTAGACCAACATTATAGTCTCAGAGCGGCAAGGACCTGACTTGCCTTCGCAGGTTCTGCGTACTCTTTCCAGCGCCACGAGAACGCGGCATTGCTGTTTCGACAACAGCAGCACTCTGCAACGCAAACGTATGCAAAGGCCTTTTTCTCCTGCAAAGAGACTCGATCATTATTACAAGCATTGGAAAGCCACCAACAGCGCAACGCCGCCCAAAACGGCCCTAACCCTGCAAGGCAGGCGCAGCGCAGCTGGATATGCCAGGACGTCAACAAGCCTGTAGACGAGTAATATAGGAGCCTGAATAGTTAGACCACCATTCCTTTTTTGGGGGGATAGTATACCACAGTTGCTTGGGGACTATAGGGGGACACTGTTACCAGATATTCAGGCCCCCATATTATGGCCTGCGCGTGTCGTCCTGCGGCGATGGAAAGAACAACAGGCGAGGTAGCCTTCAAAGTAGACAACGCTGCCGGCAAATCAAGCAACGTGATGCTACGTTTGAGGTTTGGTCGGGGTTTCGGGTTCAGTGTTTACAGTTTACGATACCCGAAACCTTGAAGCCTAGACCCTTTAACCTTATCGATGATGCAATATTTAATATGGGGCTGCGATCAGATTTGTTGGCTCGGCAAACGTCGCCTTCGAAGTGCGAGCTTCCTCGAAAAAGCAGTTTCAATACATGCGACCCCCAAAGGAGTGGACCAAACATAGAGGTCTGTGAATGCTGTGAAGCCAATAGCTCTCAGGGAATGCCAGCTATCCTGCCTTCAAGTGCCCTATAGTAGTCCAGCTGGAATGCATTTGTAGACCTATTGGGTGTTCTGTTGGTTATACAGCTTTGCATGATGAAGTTTGTGAAGCATGCAGGAGCGGCCGGACGCAGTAGAAATCACAGCCAAAAAGAAATGCCTTCAGGACCATCTGCCTCACTGAAATTGGAGGGCGTGGTGCTGATGCACATGGTGGAAGCCTGGTCATCTGCCCAAATCTGTTCAGACCCTGCTGCCTTGGGGATGGGCAGAGCGCCGTGCTCCAAGCTCCACGAGATCTCGTTGAAACTGGAGCGCGGGGAGTCTTCGTCCGCAGGCAACTTCATGCTGGTGTAAAGGCCACACTCCTCAAGTCCGGGCGGCGGGCGCAGGTAGGGCAGAGATCCCATCATTGACGAAGGGTATGGGGAAAGCAAGTTGCCCCGGTGTGGTGTGTTGATGCACGTGGGAGCAAAAGACATCACACCGGTGCCACCGGAGGGAACTCCAGGCAGATTCTGTCCGCTGGCCGATTGCTGCGGCACACTTTTGGCTTTCCCACTTTTGTTCATGCTCTCCGAATGAACGAACCTGCATGCCTGCCCGCGCTTGCAGGTGCCGGTCTTAGAAAACCTGGGCTTCGAAGTAACCACAGAGGAAAAAAAACAAACGTCCATTTCACAACGGTTCCTTTAAGAAACAGGTACGAAAAAACAAACATAAGGTATGGTAGTCCAGAACCCAGAAAACCATCCCAAACCCTCCAAACGCTAAAGCCCTAACCGCAAATCCTAAAAGCCCTATACGCCCCAAAAGAACCTGAAACCCGAAGCCCTGAAGCCCTAAAGCCCGAAGACCCCTAAACACTAAAACCCTCAAACTTTAAGGCCCTGAACGCTAAAACGACCAAGAAACTGGAAGCAAGGCTTCGGGCTTGGAAGGAGCTCGACCGTCTCGTGGGCAAAGGTGCACTCCGCCCCCTGCTTGCACTCGCCAGCCTGCCAGAACCTGGGTTCTATAAGGGCTCTATATATGAAAGGTTCCTATAAGGGTTTAGGTTTTAGGGGCTAAGCTCTAAAACCTTTCCGCTACAACAAAAAAGGATCTGTGGTAAGTAGTATTGTGTGCTTATGCTGGAAATTTAAATTAAACTCCGTACAACAACAGCCCAGGAACTTGCACATGCGAGTGAACTGCACGGCTTTCTTCTGCTCGGCTTTGGTCATGCTTGTGTGCGGCGATTGCAGGGGCGATGGCGTCTGTTCTCCGGCTACTGAACTCGACAGTAGCAGCACAAACGGCTTCAGCACAGTGTAGTGAGCCCGAAATCGGTCCGGACGGACATGTGCAAAATCATCGGGACCTGTGTGTGTGTTACCGTCTCTGCTGCATGTGGTTGACCTCCGATGTCTGTACATGCCACAAACCGGCAAACCGGAACAAACACCCGCGCAACGTGCGAAGATGTTCGATCGGATCGCTTGCAGGGGAGATGTGTGTGCTCTTGACAGATTCGCGCATATTCCGCTGACTCCGCTGCTCCGGGCCCGAGCCGCCCCACCCCCCTCCCCACTGGGTACACCTCACGCGTTGTGCCAACGCAACACCCCCACGCCGCTTGTAGTCTTCTGCTGCCACGCAATCTGAGTGTCTGGCTTCCTTTCCTTTCTCCGCGGTGCCACTGCCTGCATTGCATGAAGCCGAACCGGATCTTGAGGCCGACTGGGTGTAAGGCAAAACAACCCCCGCGGTTGCATGTAGTGACGGTTGCCGAAACGAGCCCGAAGTCTGAAAAGAAACGGAACATGGACAAGCAAGGCCTTTGGAATCCAAATCACTCAAAGCCGAAACCGACCCGACACCCACCCCAAACCGTAAAACCTAGGCGCAGAATGCCTATCTTGGAAGCTTCACAGCCCGAATGCTAAGCTCAAATAAGCCTCAGAGTCAGTGGCTCTTGAGCTTGAAGCCGGTTCAGGGTTTCGGGAGTTAAAAGTTTATCCGCGGCTCCGATTCCATTCTTGGGGGCCTGGTGGGCGGGGGGGGGGGAGGGGGGGGTGCACTATTATTTTGAGGTCAGAATCTACGTTTCTGTTGGGGGTTAAGGCGGTTAATAAGGCTAGAGGGTGTAGCCTAGGGGATGTCGGGTCTCTGGGGTTACAGTGCCAAGCCCAAGATTAGGGTTTAGGGTTTAGGGTTTAGGGTTTAGGGTATAGGGTTTAGGGACAGTCTCACAACAATGTTCTCAGAACCAAGCCGATGGCTCGATTCGAAACATCCACAAGATGACGATGGAAACAAAAGTCGTGGGTCTACAGCACTTAGGGCTCACAGTATGGGGGGGCCCTACTAGTTAGAATCGCATTTTGGGATATACTATCGTATTACAAGCATGGAATAACAATGCATTAAGAATAAGGAGCACTGAGCAAAATATAGGTAGTTATTGCGCTCCCTATAGTATGGTATTGGGGTTGAGGGTTTGAAAGGCACCCTCTGCCCCAAAGCAGACCCTGAACTGCAAACCCTGAGTCCTGTAAACTTAAAAGTCGTAAACACCCAAATTGACACACGTTGCAAACCCTAAACACGAAATGTACCAAATCTTATCAAACCTACAAGCCCTATAACGCCTGCGGGCCTTTTAAACCCTATAAACCCTGCAAGCCCTACACCATCAACAATACCGTTATACATCCTGTTGGGCCCTAAAAGCCTCAACAACTCTTGATACACTGAAACCTCGACAAGCCCTAAGCCCAAAATTCTATAAACCTTCCAAAACACGTAGACCCTATAAGCCCCGCGAATATTCAAACCCAAACAATGGAACAACATTAAACAAAACAAAACAAACAACAAAAACAGGGCTGGGCCTCGCCAGCCCATTCGATCCTGCAAAGCGAGTGAAGCCGGGTTTTGGCTTAATTTGGGCCGTTTAAGTGATTCTGAAGGGTACCACATGGCCTTATATATGTTCTGTGCTATATATATATATGTACATATATATATATATATATATGTTTGTGTTTGTTTCATAAACATGTATGAAGCTGTAAACTTTGTGAGGCTGTGGGTGCCTTGTGTATGGCCTGCGGCTTTCGGGGTTAAGGTGTGGGCGGCAGCGTCGGGTTTATGGTGACTTCAGGGCAGTGTTGTATGACCTGCAGCAAGGCCCTAAACCCTAAACCCTAAACCCTAAACACCCTTCAAGCCAGCGGCCCTGGGAGAGAGTAGGTTATGGTCGTCAGACATCCGGATCGAACATGAGCAGAGGATGGAGTCCCTCTGTCCAGACACGCACACACGCACCCAAGCTACCGAGCGCTCTTATGCAGGTTTTCTGGTTTGGAGGCTTTCGCATTGGATTTTAGTCGCTTCAAGGACAGGACTTGCTTGACTTCGGAGGGGGTTGGGGGGTGGGGCTTTGCTGATTTCTTTCTGGTGTCGCCAGCTTTGTCCGAAAAATGGGTTCTGAACCAACGCCTTCTCGCAAAAGTCAAGACAGCGCTACTGGTTTTGGGAAGCCAGGGTTACATGGAAGGAAAAATGGGCTCTGAACCCATGCCTGGCAGCAAAAGACAAGAAGGTGCATACATGCCTCTGAGAATGACATTCAGTGATTCAGGAGCCATGTAGGGAAACATGCGATGCCCTACTAAGTTTCCAGGCTATACATGGCTCCTGAAAATGAATTCCACAGGCATATCTGTACTGTCTTGACTTTTGCTGGCGTGGGTTAAGAGCCCATTCCACATAATCCTGGCTTCCGAAAACTCCTGCGCTAACTTATCAACCCGTGACCACCTATGTATTCTCTATTTGGGCTGCCACACTACGCAAAGGACAAACCTTCAGGTGGTCCACTGATATACACACTGGAGCCCTTGCAGGAAGAATGAAGTGGTCATTTCATAGCAAGAAGAGAGGGGGAACAACATGCGGATATATAGTATATAGGGTTTCGGGTCTTGAGCATTTAGGTCGGGTATGGAAATTCATGCGGATTGGTTGCTCGAGGTTATGGGATTGGGGTTTTGAATTCTGGGAGCGAGGCTGCTGAAATCTTCATGCTCCACAAGGGATTCTAGTTTCGAATAGGGTTTGGGGGGTTGCGATGTTATAGTATAGCTGTATAGGGACTCGATCAAGTGGTTGACAAAAAAAGCACGAAAAACTCCGGCTGATCCTGAGAAACCGAACTCAGGCTGCTCTTTCGGGTTCATTTGGGCTTAGGGCAAAGCGGTTCTCGGGTACTGGTGTCGCAGTTAAGGCGTGTCGGAAAAAGGGCTCCTCCACCAACTTTGACACAGGCTGCAGCATCAATGGATATGTGCCTGCAGAAAACTGAGCTTGCCCGCAACCATTCAAACACGAGCCCCCCTGGTCACACCCAAATCCGAAGCGAAATCCTAGGCATAAACCTTAAACATCTTAAACCCAAAAACCACATCCGAAATGGAAATGCTGAAACCCATAGATCACAGCCCAACAATCAAAACCCAAGACGCAAACTCAGAGGCGAACAATGCCTAGAGCTTCGGCTTTGCGTCCGGGGATTCCGGGGATCAGGGTTTAAGGACCTGTATAGTCTCCAATGTAGGTAGTCCCTTTCCTGGGAGACTCAGTTTTGTGGCTTGAAACCTCTAACAGAAGCACAGCTCAGCAAAAGAAGGAGCTACAAGGGAGACTATAGGTAGGATACTTGCTACCAAGCTTGGGATGAAGGGTTTAGGGGCTGCAAAACAGAGATCTCCAACCCATCATGAAAGGGGAAGTCATTGACAAGCGAAGTACAAGCCTAACCTAACATTATCCCACAGAGCCCGAATCTGCCATTTCTAGCAGGAGTAAAGTCACACCCCACCGACAAACCCCAACAGTACGCAAGCTCTATGATCCACATCCTCATCCATCCTAAACCTCACCAGGCCGTACATCCTAGAACCGCGAAAAGCCTTCATCCTTACAGAAACTGAGCCCTTTCGGGCTGTAGGCGTCCAAGGGCTAGCGTTCAGGCTTTGAGAACACCGTACCTAGGGTCTCCGCTGTCGTTCTTTGTTTAGTTGCCGCCTCTGAGCAGAAGCATGGCAAATAAACTATGCTGGAGAGTGTAGTCAAGTAGCGTTGGGTTCTTGCTCTGTCACGTCCTTGATTTCTATAGCCATGATCGATACGCAGATTCGGGTTTGCTTGATGCAGGTTCAGGAGGAGTCATCCGAAAATCATGACCAGTCAGCCGCCCTGGTGAGCTCAAGACATGTCCGAGGGGTCAAGTTTAGGATTTAGGGCTTATGGGGGGGTGAGTCACATCAATCTTTACGAACGGCCCACAGATACACCAACGTCCCGCCTCCCGAAAGCCCATTCCTCCAACTTGCATTGAGGCCCTCTCGTCGTAATGTCTATTCAGCAACTCCTAAAGGTCCTATATACTACGAGTAGCCCCGACAACGATGTTCATAACATGTCTTGCTGGCCACATACTTAGGAAGTCAAAGGGAGGACCTTCCAATCAAGCGTGCTCGGAAAAAAGTCGCAGTCTTCTGAGACTCCCACAAAACAGAGCTGCACTGAACCTTGCGGTACACTTGGGATACAGGTCTGTAGTGTCGGAAGAAGAGCTGTCTTACGGGTGTGATTGTGCACCGGCAGCAGATAGTAATTGAGGTGTTGTTCTCAATGCGGGTTTTCGTGCAGCCGATCCTCGACGACGGCATTTGCAGCTGAACTGCTTTCGGGTGATCGGAACATCATTTCGTTCCGCCCACACTAGCTGTTGTAGCCATTCCTGTTTCTACGATCACGCAACGACACTAAAACAAACATGCGAATAATCTACCGCAGGCACAAAATCCTTTTGACATTTGCGACAACATGCACAAACGGAACTCGAACAGTTGGAACTTGGCTGCAGCCTGCTCCACCACAACTAGTTAAGTTACACATTGTCTGCAGCCAGAGTCAACTATCAAGCATTCCGATGACCCCATATAAAAGTTTAGTGCTGCAGTGCCTGGCACGTGGAAATGGACTGGTGCGGCATTGGTTTCAAAAAAGCACACTCACTGTAGAAAGAAGCCAGTACAGCTGCGACTGTTCCGTTCCTGCTTCGAGCAGTTTTCCTTGGAATTAGACACCAACAGCCAGAACCCCCCACCTGGCCACGCAAGGCCCCGACACTGATTCGGGCTTTAAGGCTAGGCGGCTAGGATCAGGACTCAGGGTGTAGTAGAGGAGGGTTTCATATCGGATTCATGAGGGTTCTAGAATGCTAAACCAAAACTCCTGAACCCTGAGCCATACATGTAAACTTTAACTTCTGAAGAGCCAAGTCAGGCCTTACAGCAAGCCTCTAGAGGAACCCTTGCCCTAGACTCTTTGCTGAAATCGCCCCAGAAACAGAATCTGCGAGACGATCCGCTTCTCCCCGCCCACGCGCAGGTTGAACCTCCGGCTTGGATGCTGTCACACTCACTACAAAAAGGGCGACAACGGACTCTCCAAATAAATAAGCCAATTGTGTGTGTGTGTGTGTTTGTTTGTTTGTGTGTGTATATGTACATGTACATATATATATATATGCATACCTACATGATTACATACGCACACGCTATTAACATGCACGTGTACATGCTCATGCACATAGACATAGACGCACATGTAAATACATCTGTGTACATTTTCATCCATCCATTCTAAATCCATCCATCCCTCCACCCATCCATCCATCCATGCATGCGTGCATGCACACACGCGTATGTATATATATATATATATATAGACAGACAGACAGACAGACAGACAGACAGACAGACAGACAGACAGACAGACAGACAGACAGACAGACATACATACATACAGACATACATATAGATGGATGGCTAGTTGGATGGATGGACCGATCGATAGATAGATACAAAAATAGACAGAGACATAGATAACATACGTGTATAGAAATATATCTGTATAGACACATACATATATATATATATATATATGTATATATATATATACACATGCTGCGTATTACATATCTAATGCGTATGCATAGGCATATGTAAACATAGCGATCCCAGAATCAAGTGCTTCGGGAATCCCCCCTGGTTAATGCCCCTATATACATCCGCGGGCCGAGTTCGTGGGTTCCATATAAAAGTTGTTAAACCAAAAACGACTAACGGTTTAGGGTTTAGGGTTTAGGGATAGGGTTTAGGGTTTAGGGTTTAGGGTTTAGGGTTTAGGGTTTAGGGTTTAGGGAATGCAGACTACAGGTAGTACCACGCCATGTTGAAAAATAAAGTGCTGGTAGTGTTCTGTTCCCGAGGAGGCCCCATGGCTCACTTGTGGCAGGAGTCTACGCATTGGTAGAGTACGTTGCACCAACCGGCGTCTCGCGCTATCGGTCCAACGCAGTATCCTGCCGGTACCGGTGCAACACGTGAGTTCCAGACAGGCAAGTGTTCCAATATAGAACTCGCAATATGCGGAATACAGAATCCTACAGAGGAGCCTTATACCAAGGACCTCCAATTAATTTGGGATCCCTAGGCCCTAGGCTAGAGAAGTGCCTCTGACACCGGGAGCCCAACGACCAGAACCCTATAAACCCCAAACCCCAAGCAGGCTGAAGACCTGCTCCCTCCTTGACGCTTTAAAGGCTGAGAAGGGGACAGCACCACGGTGCGCGTGGTTGAGCCAAAGGAGAGGTAAGCTACCTTGAGAGGTTTCATGGCTGTGTGCCCTAGCCCCGACAAGGCTAACCTTGTAACTAAATGGCAGGCTTGTATGTGAGTGGTTCTCTAAACTATCGTCCTTTAGGCTCCCCAGTATAGTACGGCACCCTTATAAACATGTACTCCAAAAAGGATCCTAGTTTAGAGAACTACCCATGTACCGAAAAAGGCTGAAGGTGACCTAGCAAGCCTCTAGGAAGGTTGCCACGAGCCATTGGTCCTTTTAGCTTCCGGACGATGGGTGCAGATGCGATTCTCTGGCGTCCTTTGGCAGAGCCACTAGAACTTGTCCTGAACCCTATACCCTATACCAAAGGAGCGCTTCGATTCAGGGAAAACGGGGTTCCAGTGGCAGGCGCTGGGGTTTGGGTGAGGCGGGACTTCAGCGACGAAACTCTGGGGAGGCCTGTGGACATGTGCAGGGCTGAGGGAGTAGGGGGCACTTTTGCTCTCGGGGTTGAGGGGTTAGGGTTGAGTCTGTTGTGAGGTTTGGGGTCACAGGGTTTCGTAGGTCGTGCGAAGAGGGGAAAGCAATCTTCACCTGAGTTCTAGCAAGGGAGTGCTTTCGGTCTGAGACTCCCATCTACACGAATATCTCATCAGCAGCTTCTGGGAACCCCGAACCGTGAACCCTCCCTAAACCCCAAGGCTGCTTTGGAACACTCTTCGGCACCTTCATGACCCCCTGCCCCTCTCCAGCCCCAAAACGGGCACGCAGGCTGCACCCAGGCGCTGCAGCAAAGAGGATGAAAAAGGTGCACAGGATCGCCTCTAGCTTGGGACGCGGGGTCCTAACCCCAACTAACACCGAGTCATTCTTGTTATGGAACTTGATTCAAGCTACCATAATCAGGATCTACTGTAAATGAGTTGATTTCCTTATTATTTCAGCCACTTAATAATTGCATCCCTCACAAGAACCCAGAAGAGGATTTTCACATTATCCGAAAGGATTCACGGACCGTTGAAGAGTCTTTAAGTCTTTGCAAGATATACGTTGGCCCCAAGGTACTATGTTGGCACGTGGCCCTTGAGGGATGATCGAAGAGCTCCGTCAGTTTCGGAAATGGCCTCCGTGAGTTCTGGTTGTCACTGGAGGTCAGAGCAGCTTTCGCTATGAGCGATTACTGCCCTTGGAGCTCGGAACCTCTCATAAATGGTTCAGGGTTCTGAATCCTGAAAGGTTCGATCGAAGCCAGAACCCTGGGCGTCTTATGCTCAGCCGTTCCAGCCTGGGACTCGTCCAACCCTGCGTCTCCTTGCCCGATGTTAATCGGCTTCAAGCAAACGAGCCGGTATTTCTGATGGTGAGGTGTAGGGTTTCGGGCGTATCGGGCTCAGTGGTGTTAGGATGTGGGGAGGGTTTCGGGTCCAGTAGAAGCCTCCCGATCCAAAACTTCTCTCAAAGTCATCCCCACCCCTTACTAAATCTTAAACCCTAGATCCTTAGCCCCTAAACCCTAAGCCCGGCCCGCCAAGCCCCGAAACCAGACGTCTGAGCCCGAGTCGCCAAGGTCCATGTCAGGGTGTCTTTGAAGTTCTTGCGCAGCGCGGGGTCTGTCCCTTCCTGAAGAGCCAATGTCCAGACTTGACAGAAGTCACATCCGACATAAACTACAGAAGCAACCACAGAGAAGCCCTACACCCTGAACGTTAAACCCTGCACCCTAAACCTTAAACACTAAATCCCAAGCCCTTAACCCCAGGTACTGCAATCTGCTGCCGGGCGTTCGACGCCCAGAGTCCGTCTGCGGCTCAGGTCCGGGCGGTAGGAAGCTGGGGAGTTAGGAGTTGGGGCATGGGGGATAACTTAAGTCACCATGCTTAGGGTTTCGGGTTTAGGGTTTAGGCTTTGGTTTTAAGGTGTTGGGGTGTTAGGGCTTAGGGCTTCGGGTTTAAGGTGCCGCAGTAAGAAAAGCATATTATTTATAGATGCTTGATTCCTCAACAAGAACCAAGTGTTGAGTTCACGAATGGGGAGGGCAAGCCCCAGCCTTCCGGTTTGGTTTAGGCTTCGAAAGCTCACTATAACCGCATGTCGCCTCGATGTACACGTCATCTTTGACCAAGAACCGGAAGGAACCCTCGCACGAAGGGGCAGGACTAAGCTTTGCCATATCGGCCCACCCCTTGAAGACAGTGCAATGCACCATCTACGGCAACTCATCATTGACACATCGTCCTAAAGACAACCCGAGACCCTGAAACCTACCACCTCAAGCTGAAATCCGAGATGCTACGCCTCAAGTCTCTCACCCTGGCCCTAAACTCCAAAGCATGAAGATTGAACAAGCAAGCCTTAAAATCCTAATCCTAAGATCTAGAGTATGAATATTGAAAACGAGTGCTTGTATCAACATCTTATTAATAAAACTCGCAGCCTAACCCTAAGCCCTAAGCCCTCACCGATAGGTTCGACAGGTGTCGTACATGGGCAGAACGAGCCCTATGCCCTCGAAGGCGAAGAGAGCCGTACCGAGGCAAAGTGGATATGTTTCGAAGCCTTCGAGGGTTTAGGGTTCTGCATTCAGGGTTTAGGGTTTAGGGCTTAGGGCCTAGGGTTCAGGGATTCGGGTGTGCCAAACCTGACGCGCGGCTGCTTGCTGCCCGCCCGACCCACCCGTTCGTTGTCTATTCAATGTTGTTTTTTTTTCTGAATTTATTTCATCACACAAAATCACAAAACACAATCGCAAGCGATGCCATCCAGATGCCGAAATTCGGATCGGCTTTACATCGTGCGGAAATTAAGTTGTGTAGCCGAAAGATACAATTTAACTTGCGCGCAGAGGTTTGACAGCACAAATTTAGGAGTTGTATGTAGAACGAGGCGATCTGGAACCACCGTGCTACCAGCCATCCGATCAACGCCGTGGAAAATCCCTGTGAACTTTTCGCAATACGAGTAGCAAACTTTCGGCCTGGGGCTGCCGCTGCTGGTAGTGGTCTGGAAGCTTTAAACGTCGAAGTCACAAGCTTTCGGTGTGGGGTTCCCGCTGCCGGTAATGGTGTGGTGACTTTAAAATTGGAAGTAGCAAGGTTTCAACCTGGCAAAACCATCCGCTGCCGGCAGTGGTCTCGAAGTTGTAGATGTCGATATGGGGTTTTGGTCCCGAAGCTTTAAACGTCAAAATATCAAGGCTTTGGCCTGGGGTTCCCGCTGCCGGCAGTGCTCTTGAGATCTTAAACTGGTCTGGAGGCTTTAAATGTGGAAGCACGCAGCTTTCGGCCTGGGGCTCCCGCTGCCGGTAGTGGTCTGGAAGCTTTAAACGTCGAAGTAGCGAGCTTCCGGCCTGAGCCACCCGCTGCCGGCAGCTGTCTCGAAGCAATCGTCGTGCGGCTCCCGCTGCCGGCAGTGTTCTCGAAATTTGAAACGTCGAAATATCACGGCTTTGGCCTGGGTCCTACTGCCTGGAATCGTCTCGGAGTTTAAGCATCGAAGTAGCAAACTTTCGGCCTCCGAAGCCCCTTGGCTATTCAAACAACTGAAATGATCGAATTTGCAATGAACCTTTGAATTGCAGGGACCCACAAAAGGCCAAAATGGTTGATTTTGCAATGCCCGTTCCTTTTCCGAAGGCCATTTCCAAGGCCTACTGGATCTTCTGGATTTCCGGTTGCTGGGTGCTGCCTAGGATGTAGGATTTAGGATTTTGGGTTTTGGATTTGGGGTTTTGGATGTTGGGTTTCGGAATTTGGGTTTTGGGTTCCAAAAGGCCAAGAATTGTCGATGACCATTTCCAAGGCCTCCTTGTTTAGGATTTTGGATTTTGGATGCTAAGATTCTGGGTTTTGGTATAAAGTTTTCGGGTTCCATATATTGGGAGTCGTCATTGGGTGATTGCTGAGAGTGAGAGGCTGCAGAAGTTTCACCGTCTGCAGTGATGTGCCTAAGCGGCCCTCTGATCGATCGCGGGCCGCTTCGCGACTAGGTCGCGCTCGCGGCCGAGACTGTAGGGCTTAGGGTTTAGGGATTTAAGGTTCGGTTTAGGGTTTAGGCTGTTTCGAAGCCTTCGAGGGGTGTTTCGTTCTGCTCAAGGGCCGAGTACCCTAGCCCATTTAAACTACGGTAGGATTATATGAACCCCAAAAGGGCCAAAGGTTGCCTACTCAGCTACTACAGCATGGTACGTACGTGCTAATGTCTGGTGGGCATGGAGCTTGCTGGGGCGGGATTTGGACAATTAAGGGCTCGGACAGAGAAGTTTTGGGTTCAGGATTTGAGGGTGCTTGGGTTTTGGGCTCTGTGTGGTTACCGGTTTGGGGATTTTGGGGCTTTGCGAATTAGGAATCAGGGATTCAGGGCTCCAAATCTTGGAAATTCAGGATTACGGCAGGTTCAGTTAAAGCTTTCAGGTCGGTTGAGTTCAAAACTGCTGGAAGGGCTTTAGAGGCCGGAACCCAGTGTGGATCGCAACTTAAACACTACCACATAAGCCATAAACCCTAAACCCTCAGTTCCTAAAGCAGTACTCCAGTACTCCACAAACGTTGTGTGATTTGAAGGTATAGGCAAAACATGGACTGACCTCCGGATGCAGGATGAGATACACAATTCCATGTGTATGTATATATATATATATATGTATACACAACCTCTATACACATGTGATTTATGCATATTGGTGTATGCGTATGCGCATGCGTATGTGCATGTATTCACATGACAAATCATATGCATAAAAAATATATGCATATGCCATGTATGTAGATGGCAACCTTAATCTAAAACTATGGACCATGTTTCGGAGCCTCGCCTCGACCCTGACCCGAATCAAAAGCGCATCTCAAAGGCAGATCCTTGTAAGAACACACAAGAAACCGGACATAGATACGATTGCTTGCAAATAGAAACTACGAACCCAAAGCCTACTCTGCAGTAGGAAGCACAAGGTATTCCTAACGTTGGCCAGCTGAAATTCAGGCCAGGCGGCGTGCCCAACGGAGGAGGTCCCAAAGGGTCGTCGTCGTGGCCAGGTGCGTCAAGGCCCCTGTCCTTGAGACGACGGGTCCAAATTGACAAAGCGGAAACCCTGAACCCTAAACCCAAACCCCTACATGAAGGCCAGCAAGTGTTCGGGTACATGGACCCCTCTAGGTATTCCCCAGAAGCGCAAATAACAGCAAGCCAGCCGCACCCTAAACTCTTTTAGGGTGTAGGGGAGGCCCTAACTGCACCCCAAGACCTCGACCTCAAACCCGGCCCAATCTTAGCTGGGGGCGAAGCTTCGAAAAGCGGACTACCAGAAAATGCTAGTGCAAATCCCTCCAAAACCCTCTGCGGTACCATGAAGCTGTAAGTCCGGGTCTTGCAGTGCTTCGTCTCTGCTTTGTTGGCGTGAGGCGGACGTAGGGTTTGGAAGTACATTGCTAGCACTATAAACAAAACAGTTTTGACGCGGCTTTAACTTCTTTAAGTGGTTTAGGGTTTAGGGTTTAGGGTTTAGGGTTCTGGATAGAAATTATTTATGAACTTCACTGAGCCGCATGATCCACAATCTAGGGCTTACGCTCTAGAGGCCCGCAACAACACAACGAACTCTGATACTCCACAAGCCACCAATAGAACCAACATGCAAACCCCTTAAACAGCCTTACACATGTATCTGCTTACAGATAGCCGCATATATAATGAACCCTCAATGCCCTAAAACCGCAACCGCCCTAAACACACTCACAAACAAACCTTGGTCATGCCATTTTGCAAATGTTGGTCCCAAACCCGTCAACACTACACCCTCACCGCCTTTGACATACACGAACGCTTTCACTATGCGGCTAAACCCAAGGCTCAGAATCAGCAGAAGGCCCAAGACAATGCAAAGGTCAGCCAAAAGGTTCAACGTCGACCTTGCCGAGCCACTCTTAGGTTTATGGCTTCGGGATGAGGGCCTAGGGTTCATGTTTAGGAAGGATTGCTAACATGGTGATGGGGATGGGGGCTTCTCTCCCAAAGGATCCATGTACCTTTATAGTAGATACTTAGGCCTTAAAGGGGTCCCTATATAGGTACTTTAAGGCTTAAGTATCTACTATATGGGTACATGGAGCCTTAGGGTCTAAACTAGGATATCCTGGAAGGCTCGGATGTTTCAGGGTCATGGCACTCTCGGGGTTGAGTTTCCAAGGTTTGTGAGGTTAGTAAGCACGAGCCGGTACAGCACTAGGTCAAGCGGGGTTGAATACTGTACGGAATGCAACGGATGCTCTATCCTAAATACCATATACCCCGCCGGCCCTAAATCCTGAAACCCGACAGCCCTAAACCTTTCAAACATCCTGCAACAGTATAAGTATAGGGCCCTTCAATAAAAAAACAAGAAAACTCTAACAAGAAGGGATTCGAAGTCCACGTGCCAAAACCCAGAGCCGCTTGGACGAACACCCCTTGGTCGAAACAGTTGTGTTTGAGGCTTCATCATGTAATCAGGGTCCTACATGGCCGCACGGTGTGCTCATCCCGGAACCGATGCCCCAAATTCTCACCTAAGATAGGCCTCTAAAGGCCTGCAACCATGCTATAAATCGGTAGACCTAAACCCTACTATAAACGGATCGATGTAGCCCTAAACCCTAACCATCTCCTCAGAAGAGTCTTATTCTCGGGCTCAAGGGACAGGTGTTTGAGGCGGCGAATCTGGGCGAGCGGAAGCCAGACCAGGGCGAGCAGGCCGCAGAGGCTGCCTCTAGGGTTTACGTTTAATCTAGATTTCATAAGATTCTGAAAAGTTTCGAATATCGGCCCTAACGAATGAATAGAACATGAGATTTCAATTCCGGCAGGTCTTCGGGTATGGGATGCTTTGAGGCTTCAGAGAATCAGATACAGACACGGGCCTTGAAGAAGCCTCCTACAAAAGGGTCGCCGAACCTTAGGAACTCCGGCTTCTGGTTGACTAGGACCCAGTGAGACGGCTGAGGATGGCGGAAGATCCTAAGCCTCGGGTGATCGTCGGGGTCTATGCACCAAAAACGATTGAGGCGCTAGAACTACGTATTATTTTCGAAATACAGCTTAAAAGGTCCAAGTGTAGATGGATTCGGGTAATGTAAACCCTGAACAAAGGCTTTAGGCCTGCAGGCTCTACAGCACTGGGGTTTCGGAAGCAAACGTATCTGAGCGCCATATGGCCTCCTTCTCCTTCATGCCAAGTCACGTGTCACCAATGCCAGTTGTTGATGTCATGTAAAGCAGAATGCTGCCTATGGGTGTGTGTGTGTGTATATATATATATATATATGACAGCAAAAACAGCTCATCCCTTTCTCCCTCGGTCCCTCGCTCCCTCTCTCCCTTCCTCTCTCCCTCCCGCCCTCCCTCCCCTTCTCCCTCCCCCTTACCCTCCCCCTTCTCCCTCTCTCCCCTCCCCCTCTCCCTCTCCCTCTCGCCCTCTCGCCCTCTCGCCCTCTCGCCCTCTCGCCCTCTCGCCCTCTCGCGCTCTCGCTCTCTCGCTCT